CATGCAGTGGCTTACTGTTATTTTTAAGCATAGTAAAATAGTTTTTAAATTTCTCAGGTTTAATGTTTTAAGAGACTTTTTTCCCATTTTTTATTGAAGTATAGTCAGTTTACAATGTCGTGTCAATTTCTGGTGTACAGCATGTTTCAGTCAGGCATATACATACTAATTTTCCTTTTCATATTCTTTTTCATTTTCATTATAGGTTACTACAAAATACTGACTATAGTTCCCTGTGCTATACAGTATGAACTTGTTGTTTATCTATTTTATATATAGTAGTTAGTATCTGCAAATCCCTGGCAACCACGATTTTTACTGCTGCTATATTGTCTTTTCCAGAATGTCATATTATTAAAATCATAAAATATGTGGTCTTTTCAGACTGGCTTCTTTCACTTAGTATTATGTATTTAAGATTCATCCCTGTGTTTTCATGGCTTGATTTCTATTTATTGATGAATAATATTCCATTGTATGGAAGTAACACAGTTTGTTTATTCACTCACCTGTTGAAGGACATCTTGGTTCTTCCAATTTTTGGAGTTGTGAATGAAGAGAATAGAAATATTTGTGTGCGGATTTTTGGGAGGTTATATTCTCAGATTAACTGGGTAAATACCTTGAAGTGCAATTGCTGGATCATATGGTAAGACTATGTTTAACTTTATAAAAAAACTGCCAAACTGTCTTCCAAAGTGGGCTGTACCATTTTACAGTCCCATGAGCAATGAATAAGAGCTCCTGTGCTCTGCATTCCCACCAGCATTTGGTATAGCCAGTGTTTTGAATTTTGGTCATTCTAATATGTGTACAGTAGTATCTTATTGTTGTTTTAATTTGTAATTCCCTAGTGACAAATGATATTGAGGATCTTTTCATCTGCTTATTTGCCATCTGTGTATCTTCTTTGGTAAGGTCTTTTTGCCCATTTTTTAGTTGGGTCAGTTCTTGAGAGTTCTTTGTGTATTTTAAACAACTCCTTTATCAGATATGTGTTTTGCAAACATTTTGTGCCAGTCCATGGCTTGTCTTGCGATTCTCTTGATCATGTGTTTCACACAGTAGAAATTTTAATTTTAATAAAATCTAACATTTTCTTTCTGTCATGGATTATGCTTTTGGTGCTATACCTAAAAACTCATCACCAAACTAAAGCTCACCTAGATTTTCTCCTATGTTTTCTTCTAGTAGTTTTACAGTTTTGCATTTTACCTTTAGGTA